CACGCTCCCGTCAAACAAAACAGCAGGTGACCTTCAAGAATCAAAAGGAAAACTCATCTCGTTAAAATTAGACGGCTAAACTGTGCGCCACCATTAAAACTAACTAATGCACGTAGATTCTGTCCCACCTCCTTCTTCAATTTGTAGGCTTAAATGGCTCTAAATTCTAAAAACACAAATATGCCTTTTAGTTATGCCTTCAATAATTACTGGGATAATTGAATTTGGACATAAAATGCAAAAATCCAGGTGTAAACTTTTAGAAGTCAATCGAAATTCTGTGCAGCTAGGTAGAACATCTTTCGAGGCAGCAGATGGTTCTAGAGTTAACACTGCTCCGATGAAAAGAGGAGAAAATGAGGAATGAATTATTTGTGCCCATTTCCTCCAACGCAAACACAAAACGGAGTGAGTGCTATCCACTCTCTCCCCACCGCCACACGCCCTCCCCACCGTCTCAATTTTATTACCACGTTTGGCGTCGTTCGCCTTGCAAACACAATAAGTCTGATGCAAATAAACATATACCTTGACAACATAAACTCCTCATTTAAATGGTCTTTACTACCGCCGACGGAGATTGTTGCATCTACTCACGACTCCTTAGCCAGAAGTTTTAACCACCTGCTTACTAGCGTGCAGGTGGGCTGGCAGAAGTGATCCTCCTCTCGACACACACCTCCCCCTCTTGCATTGGCGAATAAGTCTTCGGTCTTATTCGGTTAGTTCTAATCATCCATGCCAAAGAAAAATGTGTCGAGCAAGCTAGTATTCTACCCAAAGTTGTAAACACTCAAAGCAGTGGGGTATAGCATGCACCCACAAGCGTACAGATGGAGTGAGACGTCAAAAGCATGAACCAAAGACTATGTGGAACAGAGTGCATCAGAATCGCTCTCCTCTTCCTAGGGAATAAAAATCGCCTACGACTTTGCTGTTTGTAGTGGGTGAGTTTTTCATGAAAGAAAATCAAGAAATCAGTGGTTACGTTGAACAGCTAGATTGCAAACAACCAGCAAGAGTCAACATTGTTACCATGAGATCTTTTGGGCATGTACATTACAGCGGAAGAGCAAATAGTACTTTGATTTTGATTTGTTTTACTCTTTAACTTGAAGGTTCTATTTGAAAGGCTTTTGTCCTCCAACAGCAATCTACTCTACCCGACATTTGTGTCGATTAGTAAGCTTTGTTTCCATTTTGACTACCATTCTCTTGCACATCCTTGAGGGGTTTAGTCACCTGAAGCAGGTGCCTAAATTGCCCGGCAATCGACCGCATCTCTTTAGGTGCTGCGTGACGCCCCAGCCACTCCTATGAGGAGCGGACTCCATTACCACCCCTTCAATATTGTCTCATTCGCTAACCGAGAAAGTTGGTCACTTGTACTAGTATGAGTAAGAAGCAGTATATAATCTTAGTTTCTCCTCACTGTTTCA